CCATGCAGGCCCAGGGTAGAGCTCTGCCCTGTTGAAGGACCTGCTGTGGTCTGGAACAGGGGCTGCTGAAGCCGGGCAGGATTAACATCACTGGCCTCTGGATCTGGCCTCAAGGAAACACATCAGCAAGGGAATTGTCTGGGAGTCTGAAGTCGGCACAGCATCTGAAGGCCTTCCCAGCCTCAGAGGGCGCTTTCCAAAACGGCAACTCCATGAACATCTTTCAGTTTGGACACTCCACAACTGAGGGGCACTTTGGAGAATATGGATTGAGCTTTTTGGTAAGGACACATCAAGGCACCTCAGTTCAGTGCCTGGCCCCCACACTGTTCCACTGGTGGCATCAGCCCGGGCACTGGGCCTTTGCTGGGTTCTTTTGGGGATCAGTGCCAGCCTGTTTAAACACAACCACTTATTGAGCGTTATATCCATATGCCAACCACTCTGATCTGACTGACAGGAGCCTGAGAGCAGCACTGAACTGCCCTGGGTACTCTGTGTGATCCATAAGACCATCCTCATCCTCCTGCTGCCCTTTGTGCCCAGCACTGCAGAGTCAGGGTGTTTTTTACACTGCCTTAAACCTGCAACAGCAGCGCTGCCTCAAAGGGTTTGGGAAGTAAATGGAGATGCTCATTCCTGGCAGTGTGTGTAGATCCAGACCCTGAATGTTCCACACAACAGTTATCTCCAGTAAATCCAGTGATTCCAGGTGTAGAATGTGGGACACTCCCTGCTCAGGTGGGTGTCACCTGGACAGCCCAGAGCCGGCCCAGAGGCAGGGCCTGCAGGGCTCACAAACAATCTCTGCCTTCACACTTCTGCTTTCTCTTTTGCTTGGTTTGTCTCAGTAATGTTGCAGATGATTCATGATCCTGTGCTCCCTTCTCCCACATCATCATCCTGCAGCAGAGCTGTGCCCTGTGTGCACATGGGAGCGGGTGGGAACGGAGCACGTGGCCCTCGCAGGGAATCTCCATCCAGCCAACAAGGGCCGTGTCATTTTATGGCTCTTTAGGGTTGCTGTAGAGCCTATGCATTTCCTCCCCTCCTCTTCCTCCAGTTTAGCCATGATTTTCATGTGGTTTTAATCTATATTTTCTGTATTTTCTCCATCCAGCTCTTTGTTTCCAAAACTTCTGGTCAGCTGCAGTACAGACTGAGAGCCAAACAGATTGCTGGGTTCTTCCATGCTTCCTTCCAGAAAACAGCTTTAAAGTTAAAACTCGTGTTAGATGCTAAAATACCAACACCTCATTTATCTGCCAGCCACACCCCTGCATTTAAAATGGCTGCAGTGGGAAAAGGAGGGAGATGGGGCAGATTTTCTGCAGGGGCAACTAACACAGCCCAGCCTCGTGTCCTCCCACTCAGGCCACTCTGGATGGCTGCAGAAGGGAGGCAGAGACACATGTTTACTTCATAAACCCATGAGGAGATGTGATGCACAGCCATGTGGGAAGATGCACGTGGGGAAAAGTCTCAGTCTCAGCTGCCCCTGGGAGATAATTCCACTCCCACCCCTGGAGTGCCCTCACTGAGCTCCAGCCCAAGGCTGGGCCAGGCTGGCTGTGACCATCCCTCCACCTGATCCAGGGCTAACCTTTGCAAAGGTGCAAAGCATGGCCCAAACAGCTCCCTCATCCTGCCAGGACCCATGTCCATGTGGGACATGTGCTCAGTGTGGTGCTGCACGTCAGCACAGGGAGCCCATCCCAGCACAGGGAAACCATCCCAGCACAGGGAAACCATCCCAGCACAGGGAAACCATCCCAGCACAGAGCAGCCTTCCAGTATTGTATCAATTATACCTTCACTATACATCCAAACACTTCAACCAGCTCTATTTCCAAGCCAATCTAACAATGTGCCTGCAAATCCTCCCTGAGATAGTTTTGGAGGCTCTTTATCTCTTTGGCTTACATCTACATTAAAATCTCCTTGGTTTACACAAACATTAAACCTGAGGCTTATGTTGGCCTCCTACCCAGAACAATTCCACCCTCGGGCACCTGAACAGCCCCTTGCACACACAGTTACTGCTGGGGGTGTTGGACTCCTCCAGGTTGTGCTGTGCTCAGGAAGGAGGAGGAATGGGAAGACAACCCCTAACTCAGGGAGGCTGGGATGTGGTGTCTGCTGTTCCCCAGAACTGCTCAGCTCAGGAGAAGTGGGGTCACCCCATTCCAGATGTCTGTGTACTGGCCACCATTCCTGTAAGGAGTCCAGTGGTGGGAATGTCAGGGCAGCAGAATTAGTTCTTTGTTTTCTGTTGTTGAACAAACCTCCCAGAACCTTCGGAAAGGTTCGTGCCTGCCTCCCATGCTTTGGTAATATCCCCCACAGGTATCCAGGGTAATTTTGCCTGTGCTGGTATCAGGCACAGCAAAGAGTTATTTTTGTTCTGAGCCACCAGGCAACAATTGCCTCTACTGTAAACCGAGTGGTAAATTCCAGACTTCATCCCAGAATCCTTCTGAGACCAATAAACTTGGATACATTTGGAAACAGCATTCCTTTATGGGTGAGTGCCAAGGAGATACTGGGTTCCAGATAAACCTCCAGAGTGAGTCTATTGACTTCAGTCCATTTACTCCAGGGATAAAGCTGGCTTGGTGTCTTTCCTGAAGAACTGCCGGATAATAATGACTCCTATTTAATTAAAAAGCATGCCAAGAGGAATTTCAGGGTTTAGAAATGTGCTTGTCACTCAGAAACAAATTTATACTTGGTAAGAGAAGAGTTTGTTGTTTTTTTCCTTCTTCCCCTGGACACATCCCCAGTTATCTCCAAACGTCCCCGGGCTGGGATCCACGGCGATGGCTCCGGCTCTGTGGTTTGGTTATTCGAGGTTAGTGCTGATGCCTCTGGTCTCTTGTGCAAGCCAGTTCCTCTGCCCTTAATTCACTCCTGACAACTGCATTCCTTCCTGTGCCACTTCCAAACCAGGCCAGAGCTCTGCTGGGCTCCCTCTCTGCACACCCCAGACAGGCTGGGCTCTCCTCCACGGGCTTATCTTTAATTTCACAGAGTTTTTGGGTGAGCAATACACAGTGAGGTATCTCAGCTGCTGATCTGCTGCCAAACACACCGGGCTACCCCCTGGAGAGGTGGAAGAGATTTCATCCAGGCTCTTGGAGGAAAATCTTTCCAACAGCTACAGGGATGTGTATGACTTACACTTGGAAACCATCAGTGAGATAGTCCCCACTCGCAGACCCTGCTAAGAGGGAATGTGGGAGGTAAAGGAGGAGAGTGAGGAAAAGCTTTTATCTGCAACAAATTTTTTAAGTACAGGATTTAAATCTGGAAAACATTAAGTTTATAAAGTTTCATGTGGACAGAGACTGCCTCTCTCTGCTGGCCCACCTTGCTTATCTGGGCTGTATTTTTACACTTCACAACCACTGTCCTCACACCGTTCCACCCAGCAGACCCACACTGCCCTGCCAGTGCACAGCTCCATGTCCCCTGCACTGCTGCTTTTATTTATGCCTTTTTCTCATTAGCTTCACCTTTCTCCTGTAACAGAACCTTAACCCAGCAGTGTCACTGAGAGCCTTTCCTCTCTATCCCCCCAGTTCTGCTCCAGTGCAAACATCTGTACAGGGCACATCTCCACTGACTTCCATGCAGATGTGCCAACAAAGGAATTGGCCCAGTTCCTCTGGGAATGTGCCATCTAGTTTAGACAAATAACTCTGAGCAACCTACCACGCTGTTAATGCTTTGGCCAAATTTAGAACCAATCTTTTTTTATTGTTCTGAAAGTCCAAATAAATATTTTTTCCATTCTGGTTTTCTTCTTAGGACAGAGATGCCAAACTACTGTGAAAAGAAGTGTTTTATCCCCAGCATTTCCAGCCAGGAACAGAAATAGACAACGAAGATTTTTCCTGCGAGATTTCCATCCTTGTTCTGGGTAAATTCATCTCAACACAAAGACTCATCCTTCACTTTGCCTCCAAAGCTCTCAGGACTGGATTGCAGGTTTGGTACAACATGGTACAAATTTACAGCTCTGGGTATGTCATTTGAAATCAAGAATCATGATGGTGACCCAGCAACTTGAGCCAGTTTGGGCAGCCTGAAAAGCAGCATCTGAATCATTCCACGCAGCCACTCACCAAAACAGGAGTCCAATTCTGCTGACATTTCTACATCTCTAATTCTTGTTCTATATTTGCAGCACAAACAAGACCCAGAGCAGCAGCAGAGCTTCCCTGTATTGTGTGTTCCCCAATAATCAGGATCCTTGCCCTGATCCTCAGAGTGCCAGGGAATGATCAGCAGGGATGGACAGTGCTAGGACAGGTCCTTGCAGACAAACACCAGGGCATGTCTCGAGTCCTGTGATTTCCTTTTTGCCTCCCTTGACCTCTTCCTTCTCCTCTGTTCTATCTTGATTTTCCTCTGTCTTTTTAAGGTATTAACCTTGTGATTGTGCTTTTTAACTTCTGTGAAAGAGCCTGGAGATAATCTCAGTGAAGCACAGTTGTACTTCCACTGCAACTGTCACTTGGGTGTTTCAAAGTGCTTTCCAGCCATAGTGGGTCAGGAAACAAAGTTAATCTTGCAAAAATTTCCGCATTAGAAATGCCTTTTCCTTGCATCTGAGGCAGAACAAGGACTGCAGCCTGGGCTGGCCATGCCCTTCCACAGGAGCCCTCCAGCATGGAGATACCAACACCGGGGTTAGACAACGCAGAAGAGCCCTTCCCCCCCAACAGGCATGGCAAGGAATACACTTCTGCAAACCCTTCCATTTTGTGACCAATAAATACGACTGAGAGGCTCCTGACAAGGCCTGGATGTTGGCAGCATTGCTGTTCCATGGGTGTGATCCAGAGGCTGGGCAGATGGAACAGAAGCCCAAAGCAGTGCCAGTGGTGGAAGAAATGCTGCCCCATCCTGTGGAAAACTTTGTCCCCTTCCCCCACATTTCTTACATTCAGGCAACACTGAATTGCTGGTTTCTGCTGATGATTTCTGTCACTTACCACAGTGCAGCAGAGAGGCCAGAACCACCAGAGCAGAGCCAAGGCCAGCAGGAGGAAGAGGATCAACAAGGCGATGGCCAGGATGGTCCCATCGGACTGGAAGAGAAACACCAGAGTGTGTGAGCAGCACTAACACAGAACTGCCTCTCCGAGGTACCCCCCTGTGCACCCTGCTTCCAGGGACATCCCACTCTCCATTTATTGTCATTTTAATGATGATAATTATCAATGCCATACTCCATTTATTTGTTAGACAAAATGCAGTTTTCCTCTCTCCTCACACATCAAATGTGGCACCTGTCCCTCCCCCCACCTCACTGCAACGAGACCCAGAGCTCTCCTTCACTTCATGGATTTTGCCTTGATTTTCTGAACCTCCCAGTTACATAAAACATTTAGTTCAGTTCAGATTAAAACTAATGTAACATTCATCAGAGTATTGTGAAGACTGAAAAAAGATTTAAAAAGGAGCTCACAGCACAATCATGGAATCATGGAGTGCTTTGTGTTGGGAGGGACCTTAAAGTTCATCTCATTCCACCCCCTGCCATGGGCAGGGACACCTTCCACTAGCCCGGGTTGCTCCAAGCCCTGTCCAACCTGGCCTTGAACATTTCCAGGGATGGGACATTCATCCATCCAACCTCTCTGGGCAATGTTTCACTGTGGTTTAAACATTCTCCTTCTTTGCAACTCTTTTCCCCTCTTGCAGTACAAACTCTAAAGTAATGTTGGCATTAAAGTTGACTCCAAACACAAAACTTGCAGCCAGGTCTCCAGGGCCCCTGACTTGGGTCACCCTGCTCCTCTCAGCAGGGTTGAGCCACAGAAGTTCTGCCACGAGCTTTCCAGGGAGATTTGAACACAAACACCACCCTAACAATCACAGGGAGTTTCCTCCTCAGAAGCCATTAACTCCAGAGGATCCTCTCCTCTCCATCTGGGGTGCTCCCCCCAGTTAAGATCCATGTGCAGTTCTCTGGTGTCCATCAGCACTGCAAACTGCTGCACAGGCCAGCCCAGCCCAGCAAGCAAAACCCAACGTGCTTCATCTCCTGCTGCTTGGACTCAACCCCCAGCAGCTGTTCCTGTCCTGAGGTGTGCCAGCCTCCCCACACCCTTCCTCCCCAGCACCATCATCCTGTTCCCAGGCCAGCAGGCAGGCCTGACTTCAGCCTCTTGGAGATGTTCCTGATGGCAGAGCAGGCATTCCAAACCCCCAGCCCAGGGTCAGGATCCCAGTGCCAGACTGAGGACACGGTCAGGGCAGACTGACCTGTCGGGGGGAGATCTGGGTGCCTGCTGAGCTCACTGTAACTCAGGGGCCAGATGACCTCCCATCATACCAGAGGGGGAGAGTAATGGAAAAGCAACCAGGTTGAGAGCATTTTCCAAGCTCTCTGCTGGTGCAGAAAGAATTTCTGGAGAACTTGGATCAAGACGACCTGATCTTTGACACTTGGAAGCTAAAGAGAGGTAGTCCACACAGGAGAATAATTCACCCAAGGCATGTCTGGAAATGGAACTTGGACCCCACCACAAAATAAAAGCTCATTTGAGAAGACAGAGCTGTACATTTGGGGCTGTTCCTCCAGACAAAGAGCATAAAGGCACATCCATCATCTGCAAAATGACACCTGCTGATAGTCAGTGCTTTACAAAATGTGATCTCGACTCTTTGCTGCCATGAAATTGTAGGAGAAATAAAGCTTTTTATGTCTAATCATTGTCTGCCCCTTTAGACCCAGATTGAAACAAACATTTTGTCATTAAGATATTCTGAAATCAATTTGCAAATATACAAAACAAAGTGGCCTTGTAACTGTTTTCTGGGGATTTTTTTTTTTTGTTGTTTTTAAAAATAGAATTTATTTTTACTTTTCTTCCCCCCAAGACAATCTGTGAAAACCAACTTAGGATACCCCAACACGTGTTTCTGCACCAGCTCTGAGCTGTCCCTGCTGCAGCGAGGCCGGGAGGGAACCCCAGTGAGTGACACCAGGACAGAGCACATGCACACCACAAACCCTGCCAGAATAATCCACAGTGCACTCTTGAACTGCTTTGGGTTTGGTTATCTTTATTTTGCCAGTTTCTGCCAGAATTTAGCTGTCACTCTGTGCAATATCTATGGTTTAATATGGCTACAGCTATGCTTAGCTAGAAACTGCCACTTAGCCAAGCTGAGTGATGGACAAGAAGGAAATTCTGCCTGCTAAAAGAGTTTGCAAAAGTTCCTCTGACATTTTGAAATCTCTCTCCTAATCTTATATAACTGGTGAAAGGGCTGAAGCATTTCAAATGTCTGCTTTCATTCCTTTCTTTTTAATATTTTTTTGTTTTGTTTTGGTTTTTTTAAATGAAAATTCAGAAGAACAATGCAAAGGCTCATGGAAACACTGACCCATGGAATAATGCAATGAGCTGTGTGTAACACTCAGTGAATACAGGCAATTCAGACCAAGAAAACAACTTTCATTTTAAAAAGAGAATTTTTACAGTAAACTAGAGAATTTTCCATTAAAAAAAAAAAAGATCTATGGAGACAAAGCCCAGATAATCCCTAAATACACAGTTATCTGTGATCAGTGCTATTGTCCCATAGGGATTCACCTTGACTCCTCACACAGAGATAAAGCTGGTGCTGGTACCCTCATTGCGATCAGTAAGTTCAAACCCCAGCACACCTGAGTGGTGACAAAAGCCCGACAGCAAAGGGACCCTCAGAGCTCCTTCCAAATGAAGTGGAAAACTTTGGTACTTCGCTTCCCAACAACTGTTGAAGTCCTGGATGATGCCTGGAGCTGCTCTTTTGAAACACCCTGTTATTTTATCGAGGAACAGTCATATAAAAAGGAGTGGGCTCTTTACATGCCCTTTCAAGGTCTTCCACATCCAACAAGGCCAACAAAGTGCTGCAAGTACTGCTGGCACTGGAAGTGTAATGGGAAACAAGCTTTGGAAGATATTGTACAAGAGATATGAAGAAATCTGGAGCAGGACATGTTAGAGGCATTTCCTCATATATTGGGAGGTGTGTACATACATATATGTAGAGAGAGAGGGAATCATGGAATCACAGAATGGTTGGGGCTGGAAGGGACCTTAAAGACCACCTGGTTCCATCCCTGCCATGGGCAGGAACACCTTCCACTGGACGAGGTGGCTCCAAGGCCTCTCCAACCTGGTCCTTCACTCAGCAGTTACTGTGGGATTTTAGGGACTACAAGAAGCCAGGCTGGGATGGGGGAAATCCCTTGGCCACGAGACAGAACCCTGGCCCACTCTTGAACTGCAGGTTCTTCTAGAGACAGAGGAGGGGAGGGATGGCAAAATCTGATCCAGCAACTGCCATGGGCTATTTCCTGAACTTTCCCCACAAACACTGGGATATGTTCCCCCTACAAGGGAACAACTCCCTCCAGGCACACCCGCGATCCCTGGGAAGATCCCAGCACAAAGCTCAGGATAAGCTGGGTGGGTGCACATTCCTTTAACAGCCAGGGCAGAGGGATGGCCACTCCACCATGGTCCTGCCACAGAGGAAATGACTCACCCCCAGCCTTCCTTTGCTGTTCCCTGCTGAGACACTGCCCAAGACCAACCTCCTGAAATTTTGCCCCGGGAAGTTCGGATGCAATCATGAGGTGAGACAAAGCCAAAATGGAATCTGTGGTATTAAGCCCCCTATTTCATCTTAGACTTCCTAAATTCTTCTGACACAGAAACAGACACATACCAGTTCATAAACACAAAATTTCAATGGAATTAAGGCTTATTTTTGAGGGTTTTCCAAAAGATGCTGCTACCAGATGGGTATTTTTTGTTGCATTTGGGTTTATTTCTTGTTTTTTTCTAATCTTCTTATTTTTGTTTAAGATTTTATTTCCTAGTTTCCCATCTAACTGCATACATTGGCTATTCCAGAGAGGTACTGTGGAATAACATCCCCAAAGCACACAGAACCTCAAAAGCTCTGAGTGCTGAGTTCAGCAGCGATGGATGAAGTACTGGGTGTATCCAATAAAAGTGTTCATGTCCTGGCTGACAAATGAATGTCCTGGGATTTACAGGGACAGGAAGGAGGGCAGTGCCTGCTCCTCACCATGACAGTAACTGGATTTAGCTCTAAGGGTGTGTTTGAATGTGCTGACTTCACACTGAGCCCAACAGTGATGGACTTCAGTGAAATATGTAAATCATGGAATATGCTGAGTTGGAAGGGACCCATCAGGGTCATTGAGTCCAACCTCTGGCCCTGCACAATCCCTCCCTGTCCCTGAGGGTGTTATCCAAACGCTCCTGGAGCTCTGGCAGCCTTGGGGCCGTGACCAAACCTTGGGGAGCCTGTTTAGTGCCAACCACCCTCTGGGGTGCATCAAACACTGGCTTTAGTGGGCCTTGAAGGCTGGGCTTAGGATAAGGATTCAGTCCTAACTCCTACAGACTCCACTGGAAGGCAAGAAGCTGTTTGATCTGGTTCTGCACTCACTGCTCCACCACAGGAAAGCGCTGTCCCGTCAGGCAGCTGCTCTCAGAGCTGCAGGCAGCCTGTCCCTGCCCTGTGCTGTGCAGAGGAGCTTGTGGGACCAGCAGAGGAGCTCAGGCTGTGCCACAGCCCTGGGATGTCTCCTCCAGGCAGGCTGGGAGCTGTCACTGCTGTGTCAGGGCAAGGGCAGGACCATCAGCACTGGTACCAAGGACTGGGCTCAGCAGGGCTGTGACAGCCACACAAACACATCTCACTGCAGTGACCCTGCAGCAGAAACAGCTTCAATAACACTTAGCACTGACCCTGCTCCTACCACTGACCCTCAGCTGCTGTACAAAGAGCAGAAACAAGGCTGATGTCATTCCACAGACAGGGAAGATATGAATGGCTCCTGTATCCCATTTTCCAAGCAGGAAGAGCAATAACACGTGAAAGTCATCAGAGGGGTCAGTAAGAAAAGGATGAAGTGCTTTTAAAGAGCTTTATGACAATCTTGAGTAGTTTTGAGTGACCATTCAAAATCAAACAGAGGTTTTCTCCCTGGAGAGAAAAGAGGAACAGTTTTAATATCCTTTAGTCAACATAGGGTGGGGAGAAGGCTGAC